TCAGGCATTTTTGTTGTCTTAAAGATAACATTAAACAGCCCAGTTAACCACTCTATGCCTGCCTTGTCCATGCTCTTCCAAAATTCTACCGAAATCTCATTTGGTTCGGTCGCTCTTCCCCTGCTCATCCTACTAATAGCCCGTATAACCTCCTCGGACCTAACGCACCTACAGTACCCAAAATCCCGAAGTCTTCAGAGTGCGCCAAATCACCCAACACAATGTCTGCTTCCTCTTTTTCATTTAAAAGTTTGTGAAAGTATCTTCGCCATCTTTGCTTGATGGAGGTCTCTTCCACCAGTATTTTGCCTTCCTCATCTTTGATACACTTCACTTGGTCCAAGTCACGCACCTTCCTCTCTCTTGCTTTTGTGAGCCTATACAACTTCTTATCCCCACCTTTGTCCCCCAGCTCGACATACAAGCGTTCGAAAGCTGCCATCTTCGCCTTCGTAACAGCTAACTTAGCTTCTGTCTTTGTCTTCTTATAGACTTTCTTAAGCGTTCGCTTCTCTTCCTCGTCTACGCACTCCGCCAATTTTGTGTATGCAGCCTTCTTCGCTTCCACTTTGCCTTGGACTTCCCCATTCCACCACCAATCTCTTTTATGGCCTCCAAATTTACCCCTTGACACCCCTAACACCTTAGAAGCAACTTCCCTAATGCAACTAGCTGCTTTATTCCACATGTTGTCCGCATCCCCGCTACTACTCCAAGCCCCCATCCCCATCAACTCCTCACCCATCTCCCGAGAAAGGGCAGGGGTCAACCCACCCCATTTAATCCTCGATCGATCAGGTACCATCTTCTTCCTCCTATCCCTCTTAATCTTCAGGTCCATCACCAAAAGCTTGTGTTGGGTAGTGAGGTTTTCACTTGGGATGACCTTGCAGTCCTTAAAGAGACCTCTATCACCCTTCCTAAGGAGTAAGTAATCTATCTGGGTCTTAGCTACCGGGCTACGAAAGGTAACCAAGTGGTTCTCCTCTTCGGAAAGCATGAGTTAGCAATCACCAACTCAAAAGCCTTTAGCAAAGTCTAGAAGCGAAGTTCCACCTCCATTTCTCTCCCCAAAACCAAAGCCTCCATGAACATCATCAAATCCACTAGAAGTTGCCCCGATGTGGCCATTAAAAATCTCCACCAATGACAATCTTCTCGGTATTCGGTATACCTCTAACTACCTCATCCAAATCCTTATAAAAGAGCTTTTTGGCCTTCTCGTCCAAGCCCACTTGAGGAGCATAAGCACTAATAACACTCAAAGTACATCCTCCAATGACTAGCTTAATCGTCATCAGCCTATCATTGATCCTCCTCACCTCCACCACTTGCTCCCTCAAATCCCCGTCTACTAAAATACCCACTCCATTTCTATCCCTTGACCCTCCTGAGTACCACAACTTAAACCCGTCAACATCCCAAGCCTTGGAGCCTACCCATCTAGTCTCTTGGACACAAAATATATTTATCTTTCTCTTCTTGAGAATTTTCACTAGCTCTAAGGACTTCCCCGTCAACGAACCTATGTTCCAAGATCCTACCCTCACGTTATATGAACCCGTAACCCACTTACCACTATTATATACTTGGTGAAATTTGGAAAAGGTCTAATTTCTTGGAAGTTAATGAAATAGGAGACAGTTTTAAGGAGCTCAGCTGAAGCAGAGTTCAGGAGTATGGCAGCATGTACAGCTGAAATAACTTGGTTGATTGGACTATACAAAGAGCTGGGAGTCAAGGTAGCCACACCAGTAAATATGATATATGATAGCAAGGAAGCTAATCAGATTGTAGCTAACCGAATCTTTCATGAGAGAACAAAGCACTTTGACATTGATTGTCACTTTGTTACAGAAAGAATCTGTCAAGGCATGCTGAAGACTCAACACATAAACACTAAAGACCAACTAGTTGATCTAATAACTAAAGGTCTGGGAAAGGTTCAACACACCAGCTTAATGAGTCAACTTGGAATGAAGAATGTGTTTCAACCATAAAGCTTGAGGGGGAGTGTTAATCAACATTGAAGATTAAGCAAACTATATGGTGTGAGTTAGTTAAATTGTTAGGAAGGTTCTAGAAGCTTTCATAGTTAGTTAAGAAGGTGGTTACAATCCTACCATCTATAAATAGATATTAAGCTACAATGTAAAGTGACCTGATTCAATGTAACAGTAGAATCACTCAGTTCAATAATATTTCTTCCTCTTATGTTCTCTTTTTATAGATTTCTCTCTGTAATTCAGTATGCTTCTAACCTCCATTAATGGAGTTTTCAGCTACCAGTGAAGAAAAAAAAAGATAAGGACCTTTTTTGATCGAAATTTTTTTTTTAAAAAATTAGGTTCGAAGGACATTCTCCATGAAAACATTTAAGTATGTCCTAGAACAAAGTTCGATTTAAAATTAAAGAAGTGTTATTTAAAGTACGACATTCAGGAGAAATAGAAATATCAAACCTAATTCAACTTAAAGAAAAAAATTACTTTTTATTTGATTTGCTTTTGATGTTTAAATTTAAAAATCAACAAATATACATTTGATTTTTATTTTAAACAAAAACTAACCAATTCAAATCGATTACCTAAATACTTTTTTAAAATTGCAACTACGCACACATTCTAGTGTAGATTGTGATCTTTTACATTTTCATTTTCTAGTCTATGACTTTTATAGTAGTTTAGTTCTTTTTCTTTATATTTTATTTTGACAAGTGCAAATTATGTTTAATTGAGTCTTTCATCACAATTATTGACTAATTCAATTTTCCTATAAAGACATTTTGGTGACAACTTTTATTAGAAGAATGATCGGCTTGATATAATATTATGTTTCATATACTAATTAGAATATGTGGATGTCAATATATGCCACATATCTACAAAAAAAATCATTTTACTATAAAATAAACAAGAAATAGACCGATGAAAATTTGAATTAATTATTATTTTAAATTTAAATTTATTAATATGATTTCCTTTTAGAGAAAATCATCTTAGATCGAACCGAATATCCCTAATTTGAACTTAGAGTTTTAACTAATGAGATAATTTCAAAAATTTCGAATTAATCAATATTAGTTAAATAATACTAATTTATTTCATTTTATATATCTTAATTTGAGTGGATAAATAAGACTTTTGAATCTATGGACTTAAATGAAAAATCTCTATAATATATTACACATATTGTTGTAATCTTGTAATTGTCATCTCTATAAAAATGAATATCATTAATGATAAAATTAGAATATTGAAAATAAAAATAATAATTAAACATAACAATACTTTTTGAAAAAATAAATTACAAAATTATAAAATCATAAATTGAATCTACTGAACGAAAATTCAATGAAAAAACGAGGAGAAAATAGAAAAATTTATTGGGGGTTGAAATAAAAGATAAAAAATTATTTATTTATTTTTTTGGAATACACTTCTCAAAAAAAAAGATTTTATCATTTATAGTAAGGAATCTACTCATAAGACTGATAAGAGCAGTTTAAAAAGAATTAGATTTTGATAAGAGCAGTTTAAAAAGAATTAGATTTTGATAATTAAATGCAATGTTTTGATTTTTTTTTAGTTTAAATTGGCATTTAGAAGTTAATGAGATTGTCTTTTAAAACAATAACCTTAAATTTTTTGAGAGACTTCAAATCGAAAAAAAAATATATATGAAGAAATCAAGCAATTTATCCAAGGGGAGTTACAAAATTTTGAAATTCCTATGCCTATCACCAAGTGTCCGATCATCCGGCATCACTCTTAACTTTTTTTAAATCTGGTTATCATCTTTTTATTTTATATATTAAATCTTCTTTCAAAGTTAAAAATTCCTTTCATATGTGATTTGAAATGGTTAAAATGCATCATCAATTATTTTGCTGCGTAGTTATATTATTTAATCATATCATGATACTAAAAGCATGTCCAATCTCACACATATCCAAGTCTTTCTAGCATGTACCACCCCTTCATTAAACACCTACATACACAAATCTTTTTTAAAAAAAAGATAGTTTAATCACTAGGAAAATGTCAATAGGACAATCAATTGACTGTCTAAACTCATCTTATTTATAAGGATTCAATTTCTCACCTTATAATCTCCATTTCCTGCCTCAAATTTTAAAGAGAAAAAGGCACAAACACTAGCATTGAGTCTTCAAATAAGGGAATACACTTTTACTAGTTAGCACCAGCTATAAAAGACACTTAGAAATCGATTGTGCCCGTCGTCTCCTACCAACAATATCCAACATGAACCTCTCAAGTGTGAAGGTACCATTTGTTTCTTCTTGACTTCCTTGATAATGTCAGGGACTCTGCATTATTGCAGCTGTTCTAAGCATGATTCTGGTGTACCGCACAAAGACTCTGTACGCTAATCTGTATGGAAGATCTCATACGTAAGTATCCTCGACGGATACAAATTTAAGTATCCTGAAAAAGGACATATTCTGTCCATTCATATTTCCAAATATAACCATAATGTGACACTGGAAACCATCTCCAGAATACTTCCAGGTGAGAGCAAACGACAAAGAAGACAATAGCCTGGTTTTGCTGTTGCAAAAGCATTCCTTGGTTGGGTAAAATAATATTTGTATTGCAAGTCATTTCTGTATATTTGTAATTTTTCAATATTTAAGTTGTCAAATTTTGATTGTCAATCACCATTAGTAACAGCGTTGATTGATTTTTTGCAACTTGGCAAATCCTTTTCTGTCAGAGATTGGTCCAGTGACATTGACAACAATGACAGACAATTAACATACCTAATTTAATTTTAATCCCATAAAGTGAGGTCTGGAGAGACTAGGATGTACTTGCACCTCTTCCCCTACCTTGTGAAGGTAGAGAGACTGGCCGCTCAGTTATTTTAAAATAAGTTCTTGATAGCACCAGCTACACAGATGACATCTAACTATACGCAATAATGAAGAAAACATGTAGATCAAGTCAAAGCTGAACACCATGAAAAATATCGAGAGATTAGAAGAAAAACAGTCTTGATTGATCTATTACACCAGAAAAAAAAGTCTTTAAAGTTTTCACCAGAAAGTTTTAAAGTTTCAGTAACTAGCTATATGACAGGTATAAAATGCCTAGCGCCCTGTTTATACAAAAGGAAAAACTCTAATAGAGTGTCTTCACCAGTAAAGCTGTATTGTGGGTTTCATTGTGGACGTGGTAGTGGTGGTGGATTGGATTTTGCAAATCCCACCCATGCAACAATGCCAACGGCAAGTATGACCCATCCGAAAATATCAAAATTGAGATCACTGCTCTTCTTCTTCTTTGAACTCTGCAATGCAAGAGAAGACACATAATGGTGTGAATCAGCAACAATATTGATAGATCGAAAATGAATCTGACAAAACCACCAGATTTTCACAGAGCTTCAGTACCAGTCTTAAGAGGACTTTAACTTTCAAATTTCCAGGGAGGATAAAGTAAAGGTAACATTTAAAGGCGTACAAAATCAAAGAGCAAAAATTAGACTCTGTGAGGAAGGTATCACGACTTATTCTGAACAACAATTTAAATGGAAAAACAAATCAAGACACATCAATTATACTGAACACAGAAGATAAGATATAGCTCCTATCAAGAGATAAGGGGTGAGAACTAAAGACTAAAGAGATACCTTTGTGCTTGTCGATGTTGAAGGTTCTGCTGCCATAGTTTGTTGCATGGGACCATGTCTGTGGATTTCCATGTGCAATTCTGGAGCCTAAATATAATGTAGAAGAACATAAATCGAGACTCCCAACCATAAAATGGGACATTTCATGAGTATAGATATCACAAATTTGACAAAACAAAACAAACTAAACAATCGAAAATTTCCACAAGATGCACCACCTAGTCAGGACATTTCTCAAGCTTGTTTGCTTCAACATATCAGCATAATTTGACACTCAACCACATTCATTACCAAAGACAAATGCAACTCAATCAAGGAAATGTTGGAACCAAATAGTCGTTGGGAGGAGGGGGGGTTTATACAAAGATTGCCCACCATTCTTTGGAGAACTAAAATCTGTGAGGTTAAGGATAGATATATGCAAACAACGAAAAAAGAAACATCTTTCGTGCAAGCAAGTACCATCGCATGCCAGCACACATTTGCTCGATAAAAGCTAAGCAATCAGAAAGTTAAGAAAAAGTATAGTACATCTCATTACTATGTCCAACAAATATGACAATAAAAGCTACATTTAACTATATTACACTAACATCCATTCACCTTATAAGAAACCAATTTCTATGCTCACATAATCTAATATGGAAACCAAATCCCCCACTTTCAGAGGATTGGTTTGCCATTGGGAACATCCTCAACCAGCCTTTGGCTTGTGCTTTCCAATGAAGCCTTCTAAGGGTTTGGGGAATCTACCAGTAGGGGAGAGAAAAGGAGGGAGGATTCATCGACAGAGACCACAAACAAAAGTCAAAGATCAAAAGGGTGTTAACATGACATCTATATCATAGTAGCGTTTTCAGTGTCATCACTCAGCGAGACGACGTTCCACTTGGATGCATAATGCCCCTTCCATATAGCTTACAATAATAAACATACTAAGATACAGGAGAGGAGGAAAAGCTTTTTAAGTCTGAAACCTTACAAATCTCTCATACAGTAAATGTTGAATGATATCCGTATAAAGAAAATTTTCAGCAGAAGAACAAAACAAATTCACTTTGTTCCATTTTTAGTAAAATAGTGAAGGATAGCACATTAGTTGTTCAAGTTGATTAGAAGGTGCAGAATAGCTAGAATTGAATGCAAAAAGTATGAAAAAACATCTCGTAATGTATTTAACGTGAAAATATTCCTAGGATAGGGAAAAACTTTTGCGTTGCAACCTTGGTAAATCTCTGATATAGCAACTGCCAAATGCTACCGTCGAGTCCCACATCGTGCGAGGGTTGATTAGGTCTCTTTATATGGTTTTGAAAATCCTCACCTCTTGATCAATCTTTTGGGGTTGAAATATGCACAAACTCCATTTTCTTATCATGGTATCTGAGACGGGTTCATACCAATTCTTTGTTTATCCGATGTTGGCCCCCCAAGTTATATTGACCACATTCTAAAAGACCAATCCCAGGCGTGTGGAGGTTTTGTTGAGTCTCACATTGAGTGTGGGAGGATTGATGGGTCTTGGGCAACCCCCACCACTCAAGCTAGCTTTTGGGTTTGAGATAGACCCAAGGACCATTTTCTTATCATATCCAGACCCTTGTGAGATCCACTTCTACACCAACGAAACCAAGGAAATACCCAGCCAGCCAAACACCAGACAGCTACCTAATAAACTCCAACGGAACCTAGAATCTCGCACCCCATAATTTTGTGAATGGCAGTAGAATAAAAAAAAGGGATACTTGAGAAGATGTACACTTCAGCCATCTAGTTTACCAAACCTAAACCGAAGTACACACTACCTATACACTGTACATATTTTATTAACTAGATGGCCCAAAGGTTTGGGCTGTAATTTTTCCTAAAATAAATATTGATGTGAATTTCTGAGGGCCATCGGACTGGGTAAAACCTGAATTAACCATGGTGCACTTGCGGGAAACTCCTTGCCGAGGGCCTGTGCACCCCCGGGATTAGTCGGGGCTCAAAGAGACTCGGACACCCGGTGCAAATCAAAAAATAAATAAATAAATAAATATTGATGTGGAAAAAGAATTTGCAAAATTTGGAACTTCCCTTTTTCCTGCTGGATAGGTAAATTCTGAAGGATGCAGTCACTTGGTAGTGTAGTGATTGGTGCATCTTTCAGATTTTATCCCAGTTCTTTCTTAATTTCCTTCCTTATAATGAGTCCTAATTTTATTTTCCTTATCTGTTGCTACTTTTGTGAATTCCTATCGATGTAAGGAATGGAAACCGAAGAGGACGTCAAGAAAACCTTCAGGAACAAAATTAGTATGATGAGCAAATTGATGCACATACTAGCGTCACATATATAATATGTATCACTGCATGAGCACATGTAACGAGGAAAACACATATTTCGATAGAAGTTTCTATTTTTCATTTTTAAAGTAATTGCACTTCTTCATCTCCCTCAATATCAACGATGAATGGCCATCCAACAATTAAGTGTCTTTTGGCATAACAGTAAAGCAATAAACTTAAAGTGATAATCCATCCATCCTTTACCGCAAGATGTTTTCTTATTTATCAGTCTCTAAGATAATACAAAAGATATGTCATATGAAATGACTGTTTCACCTACGTATACCGCACATAAAGACCTACAAAATGGCTAACTATAGCTCAATATTAAACTAACCAAAACAGAACAGACGTTCTAAAGCGATCAGTTTTGAGCGTACATCAAGTCAATCAACATGGACTATATTCAAGCAAGCAACTTTGACTTCTAATCACCCTACCTGAACAGAACTGACAAAAGTTATTGGATTGGACAAGTAGCATGTTATCAAACACAGAGTGAAAAAAGCCATTCAACATTTTATAAATTAACATGATTTAAATTATGTCAAATAATTACAACTCGGTTAAAATCATAAACTGAAAAATATTGGCATTTATATGAATTTGTGAGCATATAATTTCAGTAGTTATAGACAGTAATAGTTTTTTGGGGTATTTATTAGGTTTTAATTTCACGCGTGACATTTCATGGTGCAAGACTTTATGCGAGTTAAACGTGGTGATAAGTTCAGTTTTAGAAGAAGTTAAGGAAAAAAATTAAATGCATTAAATGAACCTCAAAAATCATTTTAGGTTCTTCATATATAGTTATGCTTAAAAATATTAATCTCGGTTGAACTTACAATTTATAGTAAATTTTGCATAGTTTTAAACATCTAAAAATTTAACTTATTACGTTGATCTAATTCAATCTAGCATCAAGTTTAGTCAAATGGACTCTCGAAAAATGGAGAGTATCACATAAATTGAACCGAGGTAGAGTAATTAGTAATGACATCGAAAATTTGGCTCTAATGTTGACTAAATTTTACATGTGTATAATGACAAATGATGTAAAGGGTGATCTAAGAAGGTGCCACCAAAACTATTGACGACGATATCACACATCGTTTAGGCAGTGTTCTTAATGGCGCTCGCCATTCGCCAAAGGCGAGAAGGCGAGGCGAGCTTGTCGCGCCATTTCCCAGTGAGGCGCGGCGAGATCAATTAGGCGATGTGAGGCGACGTGAATGGCGGCGCCTTTTAGTATTAAAATTTTAAAAAGGTCTTGACTTAATAATATTAGTCAAAATTAGGGTTTTTTTTTCATATTTCCAAAATTGGGACTCAGACGCGACTCTCTTCTCCTTCAACCTCGCGATTCTCTTCTTCTCCTTCAGTCACGAATTGCGATACTCTTCTTCTCCTTCAACCTCGCGATTCTCTTCTCCTTCAGTCGACTTGCGCGAATTGAAAGGTATGGCCTCTTTTCTTTCTTCTTCTCCTTCAGTCCTCGTCTTCTCTTACTTTCTCCTTCAACTGCTTTCTCAAAAAATAAATAAATTTGAGATACTATTGCTTTCTGCGGTTCTGCCTTCTCTGCTCTGTTTGTTTCCTCTTTTTCTTCAATGCTCTGTTTTCTTTCCTCTGTTTTCTTTGTTCACTGCAATATTAATTTTTTTTTATAAAAGTAACATTTGTTCACTGTAATATGCTGCTGAATGCTACTGCTTTCAGCTTTTTACTGTGCTGCCTATTATTTTATTTTTAAAAAAATTCTTCTATAGTAATTAATAGTAATTACTAATTAATATAGTATATGACTATATGTTGTATTGTACAATAGTGAATTCACTGTAATATTTTTTTTTTTTTTTATTAAAGTAACATTTGTTCACTGTAATATGCTGCTGAATGCTACTGCTTCAGCCTTGTACTGTGCTGCCTATTATTTTATTTTTTAAAAAATTCTTCTATAGTAATTAATAGTAGTTACTAATTAATATAGTATATGTTGTATTGTACAATAGTGAATTCACTGTAATATTTTTTTTTTTCTATTAAAGTAACATTTGTTCACTGTAATATGCTGCTGAATGCTACTGCTTTCAGCCTTTTACTGTGCTGCCTATTATTTTATTTTTTAAAAAATTCTTCTATAGTAATTAATAGTAGTTACTAATTAATATAGTATATGACTATATGTTGTATTGTACAATAGTGAATTCA